CAAAAAGGGGGGGGGGGGGGGGGTGTCTCATTCCTTAGAAGCCTGTTGCTGAACCTGGACCTGGGCTACACAATATCACAATGGAAACTGGCAATGGAGAGCAGAGCTGTGGGGCTGGGAGCTGGGGAAAGGCTGGCTATGCTGGGAACCTGCCCAGCAACGGGATCAGGAGGCAGGGACAAGGCTCCTGCAGCCTGACGTGGGAAAGGCAGGGAATGACTTTATCAGATGGGCTTCTGGCATGAGCGTCGGGACTGGGAAAGAGCCTAGGACACTGCTTAGTGTTGGCCTGCACCAATCCTCTGAAAGGTAAAGCTTGTAATTGCTCTTGGAAGGGTAGCTCTAGCTGAAAGGGAGCAGCAGGGACTGCAGTGCGTGCGAGCCTGCAGAGGGCACTGGATTCAGCACCGGGTAATGCAGGAAGAGGAGGACAGTCGTAGGACGGATTGGGCTGGACGCGTCTCCTCTTTTCCTGGCCCTCCGAGGACACAGGCTGGGTCTCTCCAAGTCAGCACCAGAGCCTGGAATCAGAAACACACCATTGCTGGAGCTGTTCTACAGCAAAGGCACTGGGTTGCCTCCATGGTCACTGCAGCAGTGGGGTCTATGACCTCCCTTTGTAAACCCATTAGCTCCTATTTGCATAATGATCCTATTGACCTAAATTCTCCCAAGTTTCATCCGCCTGCATCACTCTTCCCTTCCTGCCCTGGACTGTTGGGCCACGCTGCTCCCTGTTACTCATGTCTTCCAGCCCCTAGTTCCAGGTAAGTGCTTATCAGCGAGGGCTGACATTAGTCCTGTGGATGGACATCTTGCTCCTGCTGCTTGCAGGGAACTCGGTGCCTTCACTGCCTTCAGCAGTGCCAGAAGAGGGGAGAGGAGGATCTCACGCATTCAAATCACTCTGCAAGCTCTCAGCAACGTGGATGTTGTTTCTTGATGCATTCTCCTGCCTGAATCACCAGCTTTTTCCACCCCCTCTTCTACTCCTGTGTTGGGCAATGACCCACTTAGATACAAGCCATACCACAAATAAATACCAAGATCCTTGGTTTATACCTGACCACTTCCTTCCTCCACTCCCAGCCTTCCCAGTGCAGAATGATTCTCCCCACTTCCCAGGCATTGCTGGTCACAGTAAAATGAGGCTTCTCTGGAATTTATCATCTTTGATGAGACCCAGATACCGGGCAGGACTAGTCCATCCAGATATTTTGGCATCTTCATCACTGAAATGCAACAGCAACAGTTATCTTTCTGCACATTGCTTCCCAGGATAAACCAAGGGCTTGTCTCATGGCGAGTGAGGACCAGGAAGGCTGCTGGATGCAAATGAGACTCTCTGGCAGTGGAAATGAGCCCTCGGATGGAAACTGCCTTTAGTCACTGTCTGCTTTGCCTTGCAAAGCCCAGCCAAGCCTACCTGCAGGTGGGGAAACTGAGGCATGAGAAAGGTCAAGTGACTCGCCCAAGGCAAAAAGGCAGTGACTGGCGGAGCTGGGATTAACACCCATGCTCCTGTGCCACACAATCCAGGGCACGCTCCGGTCCCCTTCCCGCTCATTAGCATCACCTCCAAATAGCAGGTGAAGAATCCCAGTGCCGGGGAGCAGCAGCCCCTGGTGCTGGGAGAAGCCACTCCCAGGACCTGCCCCTGAGCCACAGGGAAACTATTTAGGGTGGAGATGTGCGGGGAGGGCTCCCAGACGCTGGAGGTGTCCGGTCTGTTATAGCGCAGGTGGGGCCAGCTCCACTCACATTCTTGCCTTTGCTTTTCCCTCTTGCTTTGTGCTGGCAGAAGAACTCAATGATCCAGAGATGAGCCAGGCCAGGCCTCGCTATGTCGTCGACCGTCCTGCCTACTCCCTCCGCCTCTTCGATGAGGAGTTTGAGAAGAAAAGCAGAACTTACCCCGTTGGGGACAAACTGAGGAACCTTTTCAGGTAACAGAGCACGGGGTGACCGGAGACCAGGCTTGGTCCGGAACTGGGTTATAATTCAGACCTGGGGATATAGTTTCCATTTCTATCCTGGGAAACCTCCATCATGTTCAGGGCTTTGAGGAATGAAAGGCACAGGAGAAATGCAAATTGTACTGGAGCAAGGGGAACTGGTTACTCTTCCCACTGCTGGTAGGAACAGTTTGCACCAAGTGCATTTGGGATTTGGGGCTCTGTTTTCCAAGATTTGTTTAATAGGGATGTAGGGATGAGGGGTGTGGGTTCTTTCTTTAAGCTTTCCAGCTGGGATAACCTTTTATCAGCTTCCTGATTCAAAACAGCACTGCCCTTCCTTAAAGGAAGATTAATAATTGTGCAAATAAAGATGAATAACCTGGCTGATCACTGTCCTGGAAATCTAGCTCCATTCCTTGGAAGAAGGAAGGCAGTAATACAGGGAAGCAAGACCATACGTGTTAGCCAGCAGAGGATTGCATGTGCTAACCCAGAAGCAGTCTTCCAGGCACACTTGGATGGGGGTTTTTTTGACCAAACACCTAAAAATGTTCATTTTTGGCTCTGTACAACTGCCCTGCGAGCCCCTGAGCTGTGTCTCCTCCCTCTTCCCTATCTGAAGGGTATCAGGGTATTGGGGAGCTAAATCCTCTCCATGACGGTTTCCTTCCAACCGCAGCAGCGCCGGGGTCATCCCAGGGATTCAGGAAGGTCCCCACAATAGTCCTCCCTGGCATGTACAGCTGCAAGAACAGGGAAGGGCTGTGCACCAAGCACTGGGCTCAGGATTTGGTGTGGGAGAAAGACTGAGACATTCCCAGGCAGATCCTTCCTTGCTCTCTTCCTCCCTTCTTATTTGCTTGTTTTTTCCATCTCTTCCAGATGTTCAGCTTCCAGATTCAAGCTCATCCTCTTCAGCCTGTTCCCAATCCTCGTGTGGCTTCCCAAGTATAAAATTAAGGAGTACATTTTGCCCGATGTTCTCGGTGGGGTCAGTGCGGGGACGATCCAGGTGCCACAAGGTGAGATGCGATGACTTGCTGGGTCACTGAGAAGGGGCAGCACTTTGCCAGCTCAAGCAGAGGTCTGCAGATGTTCAGTCTGGGGGGGATTAGCTGCCTCTATTGATGACATGTATAAACCAAGCTCCACCTCCGACCTGGTTGTCCCTGTCTTTCCCTGTGGCGCCCTTCCCTGCCCTCTTTGGCCTCTTCTGCCCAGAAGGCAGCAGCCGCAGCACCTTCTTGGAGCTGACACAAGTGTGAGCATGGCAGGGGCTGGCACCATCTGCACAGACCTGGGTCACTGCCCATTTCCCTTGTGTTTTCCAGGGATGGCCTTTGCACTACTGGCCAATCTGCCTCCTGTCAATGGGCTCTACTCCTCCTTCTTCCCCTTGATAACATACCTCTTCCTTGGGGGTATCCATCAGATGGTCCCAGGTAAGAATCTGCGCAGCAATCGGCTGCACAAGGCAGTTAAATACTGGCTGGGAACACCCAGTGTGTCTCAGAATAGAGATGTTTCAGAATAGAGATGGGCATGTTTGGTCTGCCAGGGGTTTATGGGATCCTGGCTGCAGAGCAGGATCTCCCCCCAGTGACCCACAGCCACATCCAGATGTCTCAGAATAGAGATGGGCATGTTTGGTCTGCCAGGGGTTTATGGGATCCTGGCTGCAGAGCAGGATCTCCCCCCAGTGACCCACAGCCACATCCTGCCGTGGGGCTGGTTGTGGAGATGGGCTGAGTGACTCGCTCCAAGTGCCTTCCAGGGCAGGATGCTCTCTAGAGAAAACCACTGACATCACCGTGTTGTGCTGCAGGTACCTTCGCAGTCATCAGCATTATTGTTGGCAACGTCTGCAATGAGCTGGCTCCGGAGTCGGACTTCCAGTACTTCAACCACACCACTAATGAGACCAGCGTGAACACCACGGCCCTGGAAGCGGCCAGGCTGGAGATCTCGGCCACCTTAGCCTGCCTGACAGCCATCATACAAGTAAGGACTCGCTGCACCACCTCTGGCCAGAGCTGACCCCCATGGGCTCAGCCAAGTAGAGACGGTGGCAGTAGGTGCTAGAAGAGGCCCCACTTGGAGTGGAGGATGCCTCAGAACAGAGGGTTTGGGGGATGCCAGTTTTGGTGTGACATTCTCCTGGCGCGGTGCAGTCTGCCCAGCAGCGGCTCTGCACCTCCAGAGGCTGAGCTGCTCCTAACAGCGCCCTGTCTGTCCTGCCCTAGCTCTGCCTGGGATTCGTGCAGTTTGGCTTTGTCGCTATCTACCTCTCCGAGTCTTTCATCAGGGGCTTCATGACAGCAGCGGGGCTGCAGATCCTCATCTCCGTGCTCAAGTACGTCTTCGGCTTGACAGTCCCGTCTTACACCGGGCCCTTAGCTATCGTCTATGTAAGTGGGTGCTCTGCACAGGGCCTGCCCTGCACCTCCATCCCCAGTGACCACCCCACCGCAGGCACCCGGCCAAGGGCAAGGGGGGCGTGGAGAGAAGGAAAGGGTGGAGGGAGGGGAACACGGGTGTCCGCGGCGCTCCCGTGCTGCTGCCGCTGTGTTTCCTTACAGCGTTATCTGAGCCGTTCTCTGTTAGCTTCTAATTAGAACTCACGAAAGGGGCCTGGGATCTGGGGACAATACGAACTGTGCTGCTTTACAGCAGGAGTCTTGCACAATTGTTAGCAACAGAAACATTTCCTATGGGCAGGTTTCCCCATTCCTGGGCTTTCCTGCATCTCCCATGGATGCAACCACCATCGATGCAGCTAGAACTGCAGTTAAGTGGACAGCACAGCCCCGGGGCCGCTTGCTGGTCTCCCAGCAGCAGGGTTTCTAGCACTTCTCTCACCCTCGTCCCATCTCAGGGTGTTTGCAGTTGATTCTGGTAACAAGTGATCCCCATTTTGCTGTCCACACTGTCCAGAGTCTCTGGTTCCCCTTGACACTTTCTTCTCCTCTTCTCTCCCCTTTAGACATTCATTGATATTTGTAAAGGTCTGCCCCAAACCAACGTGGCCTCCCTGGTCTATGCCTTGGTCAGTGCTGTGCTCCTGGCCATTGTCAAGGAGCTCAACCTAAAGTACATGAAGAAGATCCGGATGCCCATCCCCATGGAGATCATCATCGTAAGTGATACGTGAGCTGTTCCTTAGGCCCCGCAGGAGCCAGTCCCTCCCCTCCCCTTACAGCCCTGGGACACCCACTTCTGCTCGCAGAGGGCCCCTGATGTAGAGCATCAGCAGAGAAGCGAGGACGTGATCTCCACATCCCCTGTGGTCAGAAATTGGGCCATCCTCGTGGAGGATACCTCTGATGCCCAGCTCATCCCTGTTAGACTGTACCTGCATCTGGTGATGCGAGGATGAGGAACATAACTCCTGATGGAGAAGTTCTCTCCTTTCCTAGCCCTAATTTGGTGCTAATTTTGTACCGTCAGCCCCAGGAGTCGAGCAAGCTTAGTGCTCCTGAGAGAGCTCATGCTCTTTCTGCTCACTGCTCTGCTATTCTCTCTACTTCCAGGTAATAGTTGCCACTGCAATCTCTGGCAGCTTTAACATGCCTGAGAAGTACGGCATGCCAGTGGTTGGGAAGATCAGCATGGGGTAAGTGCATGTGCGGGTCTGACTCAACTTCCAGCTCATTTTCCCTCCTCCTCCTCCTCCTGAAGCCTGGAAAACACCTCACTCTTCCCTGCTGTACGACAGTCCCCTTCCAGGACTGCCAGGCAGCTCCGCTGCACCTCGTTACACAACCGCCACCATCCATGAAGCTGCCCCCAGTGCAGACATGGATTATGTCATTCCCAAACACGCCGGCTCCTCACCCGCTCCACCAGCCTCCAGGACCTTGTGTCACAACCGCTTCTCTCCTCCGCTCCGAGCGCAGGTTCCCAGCACCAACCCTGCCCCTGGTGAGCAAGTGGAAGGACATGATGGGCACAGCGTTCTCCCTCGCCATCGTGAGCTACGTGATCAACCTGGCCATGGGGAGAACACTGGCAGCCAAGCACGGCTACGACGTGGACCCCAACCAGGTAACGCTTGGCCTGGAAGGACGCAGCCGCCGAGCGTTCCCCTTGCTCTCAGGCGTGAAAGGAAAACCTCACTGCGTGAATGGAGGCTTTCAAACGTGCCCTGCTCGCAGGGCCCAGCCGTGCTGCTCCCGCGCAGGCGGGCTCACGTGGCAGCTTGCCATGGAGGGGTTGAAAGGACCCGGCAGCTGGACTGGAGGGAGCCTGCAGGAGGGGAGGCAGCCTTGGGCTGAGCCCTCTGCTTTGCTTTCCCCCCAGAGCTGAGGCTTCAGCCCTCAGTGCTGGCGGAGGCGGCGTGTTGGCGGTTGCTGGAGCACAACGAGGCACATGCATTTCTCACCGAGCAGAGAAAGACCTGGATTCCTGGTGTGTCACCCAGATACTGTGAGAGGCAGGACGTTAAATAAGACTCTTTTGTCATCCTTTCAATACCAGCCACACATACCACTCGAAGCCCTGCCCTGAGTGTGTCAACACATGACAACGTGTTTATAGGGAATCGTGCTTCCAGGTTTCCCGGCTATACCAGAGCCCACCTCAGCTCCTGCCGGAAGGAAAGGCTCTGGGACACACCACAGGGTCTCCTCCCTGGCCACAGAAGCCGCAGGCTCGGGCAGCAGCTCCCCTGCCCGGCAGCTCACACGCGCTGAGGCAGGGCAGGACGGGCGGCTCTCCTCCTGGTCACCACGTTCCTCCTCTCCGCAGGAAATGCTGGCCCTGGGCTGCAGCAACTTCTTTGGCTCCTTCTTCAAGATCCACGTGATCTGCTGCGCTCTCTCCGTCACTCTCGCCGTCGACGGCGCAGGAGGGAAATCACAAGTTAGTACCTTCTGCTCTTCCTCCCTTCCCTGCGTGACCCTCCCGTGAGCACCAAGCCCCGTCGCTGCTGCAGTGCCACCAGCCTGACATCGCTGCTGCACCTCTGGAGTGCTTCATGCTGCTGCTGTTAGAGCAGAACTTCCTCCTCCCCAGCCCCGTTTCACCCCCGGGTGACTGGTCACTGATGCAGGGCTCTAAATCCCAGCCTGGTTTCCCTGGCGGAGCAGAGCCGCCGCCTGAGGGAGGGTTGGGGTTATCTGGGAGATGTGCAGAATCCTCACCCCTGTCTCCCTGCAGAGGCCAGTTACGCCACGGGCTGAAGCAGCAGGAGAGAAAAGCCCAGCGGGGGTTTAGGAAGCCCCCGATGTTTCTCTAAGTGATTTCTTTCTTTCTTTCTTCCTTTGCTGCAGGTGGCAAGTTTCTTTGTGGCCATGGTGGTCATGGTGACCATGCTGGCGCTGGGCATCTACCTCGAACCGCTTCCAAAGGTAACAAACATCTGGGCAAGCAGCGTGGCCATTGCATCACGCACTCCACACGCCCAGGCGCAGGCAGCGGCTTTTTTCT